GTAGTGGACGTAACCACTAGCAGTGGGCATGTACTACGCAGACCAACAAAGAAGATCGTCGTGCTACCAGAGGGATCGCAGCGTGGCGACGGCGGGAGAATATGCACGACGCAAGCGACGAGATACCTGCTTAGTGTAACCAGCACTGGTTGAGCAACTCAGGGGCGGTGGGCGGAGCCACGGGGGTCGCGACCAGCGAGGTTCGACAACTAGCAAGGGTGCATACAACAACACAGAAAAACAGCCGTAATCTTGGTTATTGTATTTAAATTTGTTAAACATGTATAACTTATATTAATATAAGATTTAGAATAAGATAATAAAAAAAGAATGATGTTGTAACTATGCAATAACTCTCCCAATAAAGGAATCGAATAAATAACGAGAGTTAGCATAGATTTTAAAATGTAAATTGTACTCTTATAGTTAATTTACCTTTGTTGCATATCACCTTTATTGTATATTACCTTTCTTACATATTACCATTCATATAAATTACCTTTCTTAGGATAATTGTAACATTATCAGGGCATGTTATCGTGACGCGGCCGCGGAGTTAATGAAGCTACGCGTAGGGCGCCACGACGTTTTATATTTATAGTGCTGAGGTGCGGGGCAGGGTTCTCAGCTTAAAAATTGTAAATTACAAGGTTTAAAACCTTTTAGAGTATAAGATAATTATTATGTACATAAAAGTATAAGAAATAGATGTAAAAAAATTATATAATTAAATATGTTTGTTAATAAATAAAAATTTTAAAGAAATAAAGAAAGGCGCGGGGGTGAGGCAAGGGTCCGCTGGCCAGCAGTGGCCGAATCATATAAAAGACGGGCCGGCCGGTAGGGTCCGTCGTCGCTCTCCAGCCACTGAAAAGGCACTACAAGAAGAAAAAAGTACAAGTTCCTCCTCACCGCCGCTTGCCTCCTATATAAGCAAGAACAACGCGTTTTATTCATTTTTCGAACGGCGTTACGGCGATCCGTAACAATATATAAAATTACTAGCTTTTATTTTTACTAAATCGACTACCACAAGAGATTTTTCAAAACCCTGGCAACGCATCTTCAAGTCCCCTGGTGTTGCAGCTGTTCGTGGGCGGCGGTAATCACTTACCATCAGGTGAGCCGTATGCGTTCGATTAGCCTCTCTCCTATAAAAAACGATTTCTTTTAGTTGTAAGTATGGATTGTTCCGTTGTGCACTTCACTGATTTGTATCATAGCCTTCTTAATAGTTTGTGATCACATCATTTATTTCCTTTGGTTTAATATTAATTTGATAGTCCTATTTAATAGTTGTTTTTGTGTTTGAAATTGGATTCAAACTAGTAAATCTGATCGTCTAAAGTCTGCTTGAAGCGTACCTACTTAAAAAGTGGATCGATGGCAAAAAATTATTCAAAATAATTTCTTATATTTACGCCAACACTACACATTGATTTCAACTACTTTTAAGGATTTTATGGCGTTTAATTTATTTAATTTTTAATACCCGACCCTATAATTAATAAAATTAAAACTAAACCCAAACATACCACTGCGAGACTTCAAAATATTGTAAGTTCATTCTGCGTAGATCGGACCAAAAACAATTATAATTAAAAAGATGAAGGTACTCCGGGCTAACACTGACATCGAGACGTCAGTTACCTCAGTCCCTCGTGACCATGGGTGCTGGAAAGCTCCCGAAACGTCGGTTATTAAAAATAAAATAAATTAAACGCGATAAAAATCGTAAAAGCAGTTTGAGTTAATTATTGATAATGTTAAAAATTTTACCAGGTTTATATTTCCCAACCCTAATGATTGCGAGCAACTTTCAACGTATTAGACCGGGCCAAACGGCTAAATTTGCTTGGATTATGGACAATATTGGCATGTTTATTCCGACTTACACGTTCTTTCGAACTTTAATGAGAATGTTGGAATCTTTTCAAATGAACTCACTTTGCGTATTCCTTCTTGTCAATGATTTATGCCCAAAAAGTCCACAAGATTTATTTGTAAGTGACAGGCGTTTAGTATATCATTGCTGCAGTAAGTATTTTGATTTTTTTTTCCACTTTATAAAATCAGCTAAATAAAATTGTGACTTATATTGAAATATAAAATAACAAGTGTTTATTTATTGGAATTCGCTATAGTCCAATTTTTAACATTCCGTTGGTATTATACTGTTTAATAAATTAAATACGAGTATCACATATTATCTTTTCTTTTTGGAGTTTAACTTATAATGAAAGTTTTCTAAGCATACATTTAATTATATGTAAAGGTTTAAATAAAATTGTTTTTTTTTTTTCGAAATGCTGGCATTCGTATAAAATTGTCCTCCGGATAGTGCTAAACGAGCAGCACAAATTTCGGTGGTAGGTTTCAACCGCTGCTGAGTTTTTTTTTTAATAACCCACCAATGCAAAGTCGTAACGCCAAATGACATTGTCGTGTTCTAGCATGATGCTTAGTGAATCCATATGGAGAATGGGTTTGAACAGTGGCGTTGTGTGTGTGTGGACCGGGATTGAAGCGTCGGTAGTTACTGTGTTGGATGTTTTATCGTAAAGGGTAGCCAGATTTCGAGAGAGCGAGAGAGAAGCACGGTGATCCGCTGGCCGACCGCAGATAGTTGGGGGCCCAATTAGTGACGTAGCTACTCACGATAGGCTGCCCGTCCAATTAGCGACAAATCACAGGGTGGCTAGATAGAACCGGTCAGCGACCGGGAGAGAGAATCCAATGGCAATCTCTGGGAGGGGGAGGGGATAAGGGCGTCCCTGCAAACTACAGATCAAGTTCCCATGGTTGCAGTTACTCCGGTCGTATTCTTTGGTTGCCAATGTAACACCTGGTTCAACTGCCACTAAAAACGACAAATATGGCTAAACAGCGGTTGCAAGTCCTCTTTTGAAAAATGCACCGTTCTAATATTTGAGGATTGCACTCTAATCTCTGCAGAGTCCATCCACCACCTCAAGGCTGAGAAGGCGCACCTACTTTTCTCGATGGAGGCTCAAATATAATGTCTTATCCCTTCTCCCGATTCTCCCTAGAGCATAGATTACATCTACATACCGGAATCTACGTGCACGTCCGCAATGACATCCGCTTTAAGCGTCTCCATCATTTTGAAGACTTCACTTTTTCACTAACTCGGATGATGGTGGATATGTGTTGATAAAATCCTTAATGTTTGTGTCGATGGCATAGCGGTGACCAGGAGACAATTCGATTACCTTAGTGAGTCCACTAATTTGAAGACCAGAAGACCAACTTTTCTGGAAGAAAAACATGGAATTTTGCCCTCACGCTAGGTCTTTTCCAGCTAGTGAAGCAAGCGACTAGGGTATCCGATGTAGACGGTCACACAGCCAATTATTGAAACCTTCAGCTGACTAACGAATTAGACAGGTACGAAGTACAGCACCTCCATTTGAGACACATGTTACCACTGTATCGTCATATTCCTTACCTCAATACGGGTTCCAAGGTGTTTGACGAATACGGCAGTATAAGTCACCTGGTTGAGATGAGATGCGACGCTTCTTGAATTGGGCAGCATGGATGCGATAACCAATGTGTTGCGTCGAGCGATAATGTATTTTATCCCCTTTATTGACGCTTTCACCAGTAGCAAAGCTCACCTCTAGTTTAACTCTGAATTCGCCCAATCTGAAAAACGCAAGCATTTAGCTTGTCTATCCTGAGTTAATGCTCGAGATCGCAAGAGAAGGAGAAGTTTCCTCGAGGAGCTTTGCGATCTCGAGCATCAACCCAGGTCTATCATGGGTTGATGTTCAAGATCGCAAATCTCCGGATATTAGTTACAAGAAGAGAGCTTTCAATCAGACCGCCATGTTTTAAAAAAAGCATTGCCGTTACAAAACTCGATCGCATTAATCATATTGGCGCAAAACTCCTGACCATCTGGTATCTTGCCAAAGCGATCGAGACAAACTTCACTACACTGCCTCGGCTGTTCCAAAAAAAAGGCAACCGTGCTGATTCTGCCTATTATTGTCCAATATCTATTTCTTCCATATTCTAATATGGAGCGTATATTGAACATCTGACTCATGGCATACCTAGAACAGAATGACTTCCTCAGTGACCACCAGTACGGGTTTCATCCAAATCGGTCAGCTGAGGACCTACTAGCGTACGCTATGCTATGCTATGCACATATGGGGCAAGGCACTCAGGAATAGTGTGGAAGCACTTTCTGTTACCCTTGATGTCTTGAAGACCGTTGACAGAGTTTGGTTCGCTAGTCTTTTGGATAATCTTGATTAGGTAAATGACTTTCTGAGTGTCTCTGATCCGTCGTCTATGGCTGCTCATCTGGTACTATGGTGGATAATGCCGGTCTTACTCAGGGGTAAGTTCTCTCCACAACCCTCTGCCTGCTGCATTTTAATGATCTGCTTATGCCCGCTACGGGTATGCAGACAAGATCATAGTTGTTAAGATAACATTAAGAGCAATACCAACCAAGAACTAAGGCCGGTTAGGATGAAAGCAAGTCCGGAAGAGAAGTTGGTTGAGAGTGTTACGGTTGAGCGTGTAAATCTTACACAACAGGCGGTCTCCGAATAGGGTGAAGCTATTCTTCAGAAATTTAACGCCTCCAAACACAAGCGTGTCTTTTTACTGCGAAAATGCGATTACCTAGGCTCCTACTTTCTAAAACGTATTACTGGAATACACCCACCGCCTGCAGTTGTTAGGGATTAAGACATCCTCATATTTGAACTTCACCCTTTCGTTGTTAACTTACCGCGCGTTTGAACCAAATGGTTTTCTACATCGTTCGTCGTGCGTACAGCAAAGTAGTGAAATAAGTTAACAGGATCTGTCAATGTCTTATTCCACTACTTTGCTGTACGCATCATCAACATCTTAGGCTACATCACCACTTACCATCAGGAGGGATTGTACTTAAGCGCTGGTTTAAACAGTAGAAAAGGAAAGAATATTATGTCTTATTTTATTTTAATAATGAAATGCCTTTTTCAGACCCTCATATAGAATATGGCTTATGGTACAATCCATACGATAAGTCTGCGGTTGGAATTGGAAATTTCCTTATTACTGTTACTGTTCAAATTATAGTTAACACTGTAAGTATTTGTTAGTACTGTAGGTAGTTTTATTAGATGTGATTATAAATATTTTAACATTTTGATAAGAATTTGTTGAATGTGTTTCCTTATTTAAATAAATGCGTCTTATTATATTAACTTTAAAAATGCTACTTTAATTTTGGTTATTTGTTAATTTTTTTATGTATTTTATAATCGACAATTCATGAGCGCTTGTAAATGAGCCTATGCAAATTAAAAAAAAACACTTAAAATAACTCTTCAACCACATGAACTCAAACAGTTTTCGTGGTCGATCGAAATTATTTATGTCTGTATATGAATTGATAACTAAGCAAATTTACATACAGACTACGAAAAAAGCATTCTCAATGAAGTGGATCGGTAACTAAAGAAGACACGTTACTGGTCACAAAAAATTCTATTACGCTACCAAAGTGAAAATTACGAATGTCCGTTAGATTTTTTTAAAGCGAGAGACAACTTAGTGAATGTATGTGCACACAGGCGTTGATTGGGCAACTACCCTCCAAGATTAAATATTTATTTGCATAAAACATGGTACATTTTTAGGTCTTATAACATAGTGTGTACATGCATGTTTTACCGGTTTATCGGTATGCAAATATTACTTCAACGTGCAATTGAATAATTAAAATTAGAAAAATACAAAAAATACAATATTATTTCATATTAATTTTAATAAAACAGTTAAAAAAAACATAAACAGGCATGGTCATGTCATATGCATGATGCCAAACTAGTGTAATTTCAATTATATATATATATATATATATATTTTTTTTTTTTTTTTTTTTTATTTAAAACATAAAAGATTTTTAACATTGATATAGTCTGTATAAAAAGTTGTTAGGTAACGTAATTACGTAATAACTTAAAACAGAAGGACCCTTATGTAGGGACTGAATAAAATAACCGACTTGATACTACATGGATCTCAACTCTTTTTACGGTAGAAGAACTGAGTTGCGAGACTTGATTTTACAAGTTATGTTTTTGTGGCATCTCGTTTCTTTATTAGATAAGATAGTCCTACTTTTTTCCAGTCCAGTACCTTCTACTTCTGGAATACCAACAACGTATCTATCTACACCTATTATACATATTATACAAGTACACTAATTCATTCACTGCAATTGTAACTTTGTAATTTTATATATTTATACGGGATTACAAAGTTATTGATGCAGTTGATGTATCTAGAAAACTGGGCCGAAATTAAAAAATATTTTAGTTTTTCCTTATGTCTTTGATGTCATCTCATTTCTTTTTGTAGATAAGTTAGTCCTACTTTTTTCCATTCCGGTACCTTCTACTTCTTAAATACAAATAACGTACCTATCTACACCTGTTACACATATTATACAAGTACACTGATTCATTCACTGCAAATGTAACTTTATAAGTCCATATGTTTATACGTGTTTACAAAGTTACTAATGCAGTTGATGTATCTAGAAAACTGGACCGAAATTAAAAACTATTTTAGTTTTTCCTTGATTTGTACACTAAGCACTAATTGTATTCTAAATTTGAAGCTTCTATGTCTGTTAGAAGTGACTTAGAGTTTTGATGAGATCAGTCAGTCAGTGAGTGACAAAATTAAGAAACTTTGGCTAGTTATAATGCTTAAAATACTGGATCAAATTGAATAAAATGAAATAAACTACGTTTATACAATGTCTACACGGTTACCGAAAATTCAAGCTTCTAGTTTTATTCACTACCAAGTTATAGGGATAGGGGGTCGAAAAGGGCCCGAAACGCTTAGAGAAAAGTCTGGTACGGCGGTGCCGTTTTTAGATAGAAATTCCGAAAGAAGAGAAAAAATATAGGGTGATAAGTTAGATAAAATAATGAAAGCAATGAAAATCATAAAACCAGGTAAGGCAGCCGGATATTATAGAGTTTCACTCGAAACACTAAGGGCTGGAGAGGAAGTGGTGGCACACTGGCTCTACACCTTGCTTAATTTATGCTGAGAACTGAAACGGGAACGGGAAGACTGCTGCAAAGCCGTGATCATCCCAATATAGTATAAAAGAAAAGGGTCACAGCAGGACTGTTAAAACTACAGTGGTATCAGCCTTCTTAGCATTGTGGGAAAACAGTATGCTAAGGTACTGATTATAAAGTAGTCTCAAAAGAGTTATGAAAGAAACTGATGTAAAATTTGGGATGTGAAAGCGGGATTTAGAAAAGAATGGCGTGCACAGATCAAGTATTTTCCATGCGCATGATCACAGAGAGACAGAGTGGACAGAGGTGTGTTATGGTAAATACTGAACTCATTTGGGTTGAGCACTGGGTTAACATACAGGCATTAAGATTAAGGATTTGAGGCAATAAGATCTCTTTATGGGGACTCTAGTGCTTGTGTAAGGATCAACGGGGTCTACCTGGACTAGTTTGGCATCCATAAAGGTATCAGACAGGACTGTGTTGCTTCCTCGTAGCTTTTCAATCTATTTATGGACAGTTGCTTAGAAAACTTGAAATTTAAAGAATGCGGGTTAAGCTTGGGCGACTTATTCGTCAAATGCCTTTTTTACGCGAATTGTCAAGTTATATTTACATCGTCGGCGGCCGAGTTGCAAATGATGGTTTCATTAATGAACAGAGATCATTAAAATAAAGGGGAATGAAAGTGAACGCAAGTAAGACCAAAGTTATGGTTTTTGAAAGAGAAGAAAGTAAAACGTTAGAGATAGAAGTCGAGCAAGTAGATGAGTTTGTATATTTGGAATGCGTATTTAGCAGGGATGGGAGATATGATAAGGATATAGAACAACGAGTGAACGCAGGAAATGGAAGTCAACGCTCTATTGTGGAAAATCAGAATGTATGAAAAAACGCTTGTATGGCAATTCACAATGCTGTGTTAGTCCCTATTTTTTATTTTGGGTCTACTTTGGAATACTAAACGCTAAAAACCCAGACCAGTGATGAGATGGACAGTATAAGGTCCCAATTAATGTGTTTAAATGAGGTAAGGCCATGCTGCAGCCTTGTTATTGTTGAAGAACGAATGGGTTGACTTAACTTAGTAAGGCCTACACTCTCATAGCCTCTCAACTGTCCCGGCCCAAGTGGTCGCTTTTGCGCATACTGTCCAACCCTAAACGAGTGATTTATTGCCTACGTGGCGCATGTCATTAAAATGGCAATATCTTTATAATTATGAATGGAAAGTCTTTAAAATAATATAATTTTAGAATTATTATTAAGTAAGCTAATAGTATATGTGTAAATGTATACGTTCACCTTTTTTATATTTTCTAAAATCCATGGTAAAAATGCTAGAAGCGATTTTTTTCAGTTTGGTGAAAAAAAAATGTAAAAAAACAATTATTTCGATCAATATTTATTTTATTTACAATAAGATAAATACACTTTACAATAATTAATTTAAAAAAAAACACAACTGCGTACATTTTTTTTACACCAAAAGCTCGGCAATAATGTGGGCCACTTCAGATGATCCGAAACAGTCACAAAAAAAGGCACATTTTGTAATTCAATAGCGACAATTCCATACCGAGATAAGTAGTTTATAGATATTAAAACAATGTTGTACGAGTCAGAGGGAGATACGTATACATTTACTGCGGCTGTTTCGTGCCTGAAGTATAAAAGTAAATAGCAACCTTCTAAAGGTTGTGGACAGACGCGCACTTTTTTGATAGCGACCTTTAGAAGATTTTGGGCAGACTAGAGGATAGTATACCAACGTAATATAGCAACCCAATATTGCTGTGTTCCGAATGGCATGTGTAGAGAACGGGAGACCCTTCTTACTGAAATTGATACATTCTATCTTGTCTCTCAGTGGTGATAATGCATCTGCACTTTAAGAATTAATTAGGTGTGTTTGGATCGCAATAGCGATTACGAGAAAGTGTACTATGTACTCGCTTGTTATTTTCATTCTAAAAAAAATATCCTGACAGCTATCGTCCGCTTCCATCAAAAGTTAACAGCTACGCAGAAATATAGTTTTATTTACAGAAAATTTGCTGTAGTCGTTATATGGCACTGTTTAACATATTCAAGGGCTACAGATTACCGCGCCACAAGTATTGGCATATGTAGACGAACACGAGCTTAAATCCGGACTTTTACTGTCAAAATCTGAGTCTAGACCATATTGTCAGAGTCAACATGATGTTTATTTGGTGTTTACTCTTACAGATATCTTGATCTAACCTTGATTAAGAATCAAAGTGCAGATGCGTTGTCACCACTGAGAATACGGTTGAATGCCTCGTTCATATGTAATGAAACAGCAGAATAAAGCTATTATTTCCCGCCGGTATTCTTTGAGAGTGTGGTCCTTTCCTGGCCAATCTAACACATTTTTGCTACAACCATAATATAGAGATAATTAATAAATTCAGGCGTTACTTTGCGGAAATCTATTATATTGATGATGTTAAAGTATTATTTAGCTAAGATTAGCCTAATGAAATAAAGTGATATATCTTACTTAGTTTAAAGAGCACCTTGTGCCCTCCCTTAATTGCATGCAATTATCCCATCACCACTAAATTAAGCAAAATTTACGTGGTAAAGCCATGCTGCAGCAATATTATTGTTACAATGCGAATGGGCCGGCTCAACTGGGGAAGGACCATGCTCTCACAGGATACTGGCGTAAAATGGCAGCTTAAAAGAATTCCTACATAATATATCGACGCAAAGTCAACTTCAGCTGGTTATAAAAACCTTTATTTCTACAAAATAAGGTTATTTCTAACGCCGTTCTCATCGGCTCGGCGCTAATGTGTCGCGACGTCAGCCAACGACAAAAGGAGCACTTTGCCGATTAGCTAATCGCGTCTGTACAGTGCTGAAAGTAGTCGAACGTAGATTATAAGTAATTCTTATTGAAAGGCATTTTTGTTTCACTTTTACCACTAGTTCGGAAAAAAACCTCACAAAGTATAAAATTATGCAATAAAAACAAAGATTGTCCAACCTACATACAAAACTTATTTAAGAAACAGCATATTTAAGCTTAACAATAGAGATAAGTTGTGTGTTTTCTGAGACTATTTTATAATGCGTATGCATTGACCTTTGACATCGTAAAACTGATTATATCGTCATTAATCGGAAGCTTAAATATTTTTCGGGCAGTTTCTATAGTCACTTCTTACAACACACACGGAACGAGATGTCAACGTTACGCCTACTCTTCTCTTAAGTAAAAACACACAAGTTTTGACATTGTGAAATTTTTGTTTTTGCTCAGGTTTTTCACAGTATCAATCTAGTTCGGTAATATCTCAATAACTTATCCAGAAAACCAGTCTCGATTCTGTAAATTTGAAAGAAAATTAGCCAGGTTTTAAATGTGTCCTTACAAGTTAATGCCAAATCTGGCTGGTCCTTAATTAACCGTATCCATAGTACGTAACGTTTTAATATTATTTTATTAGTGCATATTGAAACTCCACAGATTAACGTAGGCCTTTTTCATACCGTTAGTTCATAAGGAGTATTGCTTCCACAGTTGCCATATCGACAGGCGGGTTAAAAACCGCTTTGTTAAATCAGTATGGTAGTCATCAGGACGATGCTACTGTTTCCCACTTCCTGTTTCACTGTGTTTTCACTGTGTCGTCCTTACGACACTCACGATTTTTTTTATAGCTTTGGGTGACAAACAAGCACACAGTCCTCCTGATGGTAAGTGGATGCTGTGGCCCGTAGACATCTACATTTATCCTCAATTAATAATCAAAATGCTATTGCGTTATCACCCCTGAGGACTAAAATGGAATGCTTCGATTGCAGTAAAAAGGGTATTCGGTTCTCTACACTCACCATACAAACACAGTAGCACTGTTTTGCCAACTCTACCTGGCGGTTATATAATTCTTAGATTTATTCATATTTATGTTCAGTAACAAATAAAAACAACTTAGAAGTCTAATACCAACCATGTGCTTAATGTTAACTTTGTTTCAACCAGATTCTTATATATTGAGACTGCAAATCCGTTTGACAAATTATTATGAATTTCCTCCTTGTAAGAAAATCCGGTTTACGTGATGTTGAAGACAATATATTGCTAAAATTGTTTGAATAGTCGCTTCGTTTTTTAAGAATTGAAACTTAATTTTAACCTTTATAATTCGAAAGCTTTACCATTATTTTACTCACTAGGATTTTTTATTTATTTTATTTAGATTACTTTTAGGATTTTTCCTGTATTTTTGTGGCAAATTACAAACATAAATTGCACAAGAACCTTACATACATAAAATACATCCAAACCCGGAAATATTATTTGTAGGATAGGATACACAAATACTTTTTCCGTGAGAGATTCGAACCCGCGGCCCTCAGCGTCGCAGCTAAAGGATAGCCCACTGCGCTACGGAGCCGTCAAAAAAATCAAACATTATCTCGTATAAGAGAGGGAATAAACAAAAGTGTTTTCTATGTTAAGTATGTTAAGTAATGTTGTGTTTCTTGTAAGTAATGTTGTTTTCTTGTAAGTAATGTTGTAATCGTTTCAATTTTCGTGACGCTTGCAGTTATAAACATAGAGATAAAAGCTATAATACTTATAATGTTGTCATTCTTATTTAATCGCCTGTAGATCCTACTACTCCTGCTCGCATATCGAATGCTCAACCGATTACGCTATGAGATAGACAGACGGCGCTCAGTGTTGATGCCTAGGAGAATGTATGAGAGCTCGGATGTCTCTGCCGAGAAGAAATATGTTAGAAACACGATTCTGAGATGTTAGTATATCTTATCATTAAACTATACATTTAAATTTAGTTTTTTTGTGTATATAGTCTACAAAATAATGCGATTACCACAATATTTCTACCGAATTAAATTACTATAAAAGGTATGTAATTATATTTTTTAATAATAATTCAAATTGGAGTAAGATTTTAAGTTATTGTTGGTACTGCGATGTTAGCCCCCCCCCCTCTTTGAGTTAAAGCATACTCAAAGTCCCCCCCTATATGATCGGCATACCCCCTGTATTAATTTCTCTCATTTTGATTTAATTGTATCAACGGTTTGCTATTTCTATTAAAAATCTCCCAATCGGGGTCCTTACATTAATGGCAGCTCTAAAAATGAATGCAGCAACCTACTTATTGTATAAAGGTGTTTATAGGTCAACAGCGGAATAAGGGTGCATACAGTGTTAGATAGTTATTGAAACAAATCCTGAACACTCGACTGAATTCTAAAGTATGTTATAATATGTTTAATCTATTTAGATTAATTAAAATTCATAAACATTAAACCTTCTTATGTCATAACATATAACTTTATATTTAAACCGATTTTTATGAGATATTTTAAACAATTGTTAAGAGAAAAATCTCTTAATTACAGCAAAAGATTCTATAAAGGAGAAGATGCTTGTAAGCCGAGTTTGGAAAATATATTTCAGTTTATTCAGGAAATCAACTTTTGCTTTAAAGGATATCAATTATTCTGTGAAAAAAGGTACGAAACAACGATAATTTGCGGTTTGATTTGTATAATATTTGCAATATATTAAAAAAGAGTTTCTAAAATTTTATAAGTTGATTAAATCAAGCAACAAAAATTTTGTTATATAATTTTAAAAGTTACAACTATAATCTATAATACGTCGATATGTAAACACAGGTGAATGTTTTGGCTTGATCGGCTTAAATGGCTCCGGCAAAACAACCCAATTCAAAGTGATTACCTACGAAGATTATGCAACGAAGGGAAAAATTTATGTTAACGGACACTACGCTCATTTAAACGCTAAGCGGGTAAATATTTCATTTTGGTCATCGTTTTACAGGCTTCAGCTATTCAAGCTATACATAGCACATACATGAATCATAAACGCTTTGGCTCGACAGGGCTCTCAAAGAATACCGACGTGAAATGGCAGTATAATGCTGCTGTGTTCCGTATGGCGTAGAGAACCATAGAAAGTTTTTTTTTATAGGATAGGGTGACAAACGAGCACACAGTCCACCTGATGGTAAGTGGTTGCCGTGGCCCATAGACATCCACATCTATCCTCGATTACAAATCAAAATGCAGATGCGTTGTCACCCGTGAGGACTAAGATGGAATGCCTCGTTTCCATTAAAAAGGGTCTCCGGTTCTCTACACTCACCATACGAAATACAGCAATTAGCTACTATTTTACGCTGGTATTCTGTGAGAGCGTGGTCCTTCCCCGGTCGAGCTGACCCATTCGTGCTACAACTATACTTCTAATATAACTGCAGCATGGTTCTACCACGTAAAATTTACTGGAAATAAGGCATTTAATCTTAGTACTCAGGGCGACAACAAATCTGCATTATGCTCCTTTTTTTTTGCTCAATTTTTTAATCGCTCTTACACACAAAAGAACATACTTTATGGGTCTGTTCTTGTTTTCCATCCTGTATATAATATGGTTATTTTATCATTTTCATTTAATCACAATAAGCCAGTAAACCTGCGCGATAACTTTCACAATATGTTCTGCACTCAGAGGAAAACGAAATTCGTTTTTTACGTCTCAGAGATTTTTTTTTGCTTATCATTTCACTTTGTTTCATTACATTGCATTTCCTCGTTCGAAGTTGGAATTTAATGTCGAACTGTCAAGGTCTTGATTCACCTTTCTCAATAAATCTATTTTATTATTTTCAGTATGCCTACTCTCTGGGCTACTGTCCACAATCTTACGGTCTGGATTACTACCGGTCTGGTGAGAGAAATATGAAAACGCTATTACGCCTCCGAGGTTTCTCAAATCGTAAAGCACAAAATGTGACTAAGACTTGGTTCAAAACCATTGGTGAGATTGTTGATATTATAATAATTCATTTTTTGATGTAAGAGATAATGTATCGTACCAAATGTCTGCCTCTCATACACGCAGTTCAACTTGATTAATAAATGGCGAGGCAATGGCGACGAAGTTGTTTTCATACGATTATTACAGCCTCATAAAATTTCACAGGTGAACAAAGGCATCCCGTATTGCCATAGTTGCAACGCTTGGCGGATGGTTTGTAACCGCATTTACTTTTATGAAATAAGTGCCATGCGAACTTCCAGTCCACCTCGATGGTAAGCTACTGCTGTCCGAGGACATAATATACAACCAATTTTAAACTGCGGGTAAGTTGGAAGCTCACATAATTACATATATTAGCTCCTTGACCGATTCGGTTTATTTTGCGGGAGCAATAAGCAAGAGAGTAGTAATTACTTCTAAGCAGAAAAGAAATTCTTGATCGCCAGTTTTCAGAAAATGCTACTGCCAATCTATCATGGCGGCCTATTTGTGGCGCAAAATTTATCCTAAAATGCCGAATCTTAATTTCACACATTGGGGAGCTACATAACCAGAGCTAGAACTCATTTGACTGTCGTTTATATTAATTTACTTCTGAAATCATGGGGCCATTTTAATTATATTTAAGTTGCTAACGACACGTTCTTATTTATCTATTTATTTAATTTCCTTCAGTTCATTTATATGTCTAGTTCTGCTATTTAATAGTTTGATTACTATGTTCTTGATAGTTCACTATGTTTTCGTTCTTGTGAAACATATTAAGAATGCTAAAATATAACTGTGGGCGTACCTCCAGGTGTAATCCTGTCCGCTTTGCTTGTCACTGTTGCAATAAATAATATACCCAAAGGTAATTAATTAAAAATAAAAATTTATAACCTTGGGGTTATATTGCCTCTAATTACCATCCCTGTGCTGACGATTTCCAGTTATATCGTCACTTAAGGAATTTCTATATAAAACTTTCTCTGAGAGCTATTAACGACAACTTCAATAGTTATCTGAATAATGGCAGCTACTGAGAATTTCCAAAACTAAATACCTGATATTGACCCGACACGGGATTTGAACTCGGAACCTGATGATTAGCAGTCACGTTTATAACAACCAGACAACGAGGCAGTCAGAAATAATATATCAGAGTAACAAGGTAAGAGTGAAATAGTTTATCTATATATGTGTCTCTTTATAAAGGATCTGAATCCCGTCTGATTACAATGTGGGTGTCATCAAGGCAAGAGTGTAATAAAAAAATGATGCAGTTGCTTAGAAACTCATCCCATATAGAGAAATAAATGAAACCTATGCTGTACCCAGGCTTGAAACGTCACGCAAAGAAGGCGGTATGGCGTTACAGCGTGGGCATGAGGCGTCGGCTGGCTATTGGCTGCGCCCTTTGCTCTGGTGCTCCGGTAAAACTGCTGGACGAGCCCACCGCGGGGATTGATGTCGCCGCTAAGCACCTAGTATGGGCCGAGATAAAGCGTGGACTTTCCCATGGCGACGCCGTTGTACTCTCATCTCATAAGTAAGGTTTCCTCAAAAACCTACTAGTATGTTCTTATTTTTTATGATGATACTTCAAAGATTCCCAAACTTAAACAACAATAGTTTTTACGTGGTAGAGCCACGCTATAGCTTAATTACGGTTGTTATGTAATGTGTATACGAATACGTCTGTTTGATCGGGGACAGCGTAAAATAGCAGCTTAATGCTGCTGGTTACACATGGTGAGTGTTAGTGAATCAGAGACCCCTTTCAATACGAATGAGGCATTCCAACAGAGTCATCACGGATTACAACGCATTTCTGTTTTGATTCTTAATTTAGGATAGAAGTAAGATGTCTTTGCGCAACAGCATTCACTATATAAGAAGAACCGATGCGACTTGGGGACATTCAAGAAAAGAGCTTACTACTTTCTAAAGGGCTGGCAACGCACCTGCAATTCCCCTGGTATTGCAGTTGATTATGAGCGGCGGTAGTCACCTAACATCAGGCGAGCCGTATGTTTGTTTGCCCTCTCTTCTCTAAAAAAAAAAACTTAAAATATGATGAAGTGAATAATGTTAAATTGAAGTTATTACGCTGGTTTAAAGTCATCAATTTGCTTTTGAACATTAATAACACGAAATACGATAAATTCACAGCTACAATCTTAAACACTTGAATACCGGTGTGTTTTCAAATGGGAGAGAGCTTGGTCTTGTTTAACTCACTGTTTTTTTTTTCGAAATCACATTCAATGTCAAGCTTGAGTGGAGCCTCGTAATATCTAAATTAGTCAGCGAATATAGTTTTGCAGCATATGCTGTAGAAACAGCTAAATTTGTTCATTTTGTTTATTTCTGTAGCGTAGGCATCGTGGACTAACACTGAAGCTATATTTGTTTCGCAGAAAATAGCTACAAAAGCTATTTGTTTACCTGAATCTGGAGGAATGTTTTTTAAGAATAATTTCAAGCAATAAATGTATAAGCTTATCATTTAATCGCGTAATTATACGAGAGGCTTTCTTAGTAGCCAAATCTTAACATAACTACGCATTTTTTTATTAATTTAGATTCTTAATTGAAGATAAATTAAGATGTCTATAGGTCGCAGCGTTGACTTACCAGCAGGTGGACTGTATTCTAAAAAAATATTTGTTTTAAATTTGCGTGTTAAAGAAATAATCCTTTGTTATTTGAATAAAACTATTTATATGGCTTTTATCGCGTTTAATTAACTTATTGTCAATATCCAACATTTCGTGTGCTTTACAGCACCCATGGTCACGGGTGTGGGGGGCTGAGATGTTTGACGTCCCAATGTCATAGTTAGCCCGGTTACCTTCTGTTTTCAGATCTTATTTTTTTGGTCTGATCTTCGCACGTCGGGAAACGTCGGGAATTAAAAATAAGTTAATTAAACGCGATAAAATTCGCATACATAGTTTTATTCAATGTTTAGTGTTCGCGTAAATTTAAGAAACATAATACATACATACATAAACACTCACGCCTGTCACCCAGAGGGGTAGGCAGAGACTACGGACTTCCATTTGACACGATCCTGACATACCTCTTTCGCCTCCTTTACATCCATATATCTACGTATACATGCTCGTCGGTTAAGGGTACTTTTAACGTGGCCCATTTTCAAAATATCGCCAATTTGGTCAATAAACTTTTTTCTAGGGCGTCCCTTCCCGACTCTGCCGTTCACATCTGCCATATAAATTTGCTTTGTCACTCTTTCCTCATTCATTCTCTCTACGTGACCAAACCATCGAAGCATTCCTTTCTTAATCCTGGTCACAACATCATCTTGCATACCACATTTATCTCTGATCACGCAATTTCTCATCCTGTCATTCAGATTCAACCCTAGCTTACTCCTTAAAGACCGCATTTCTACAGCATTTATTCTACTTTCGTTCTTCTTCTGCCACATTCAGCTTTCACTACCATACATTAAAGTGGGACTAACAGATATGAATTGTCTTTTTTGATACATTCTGGTTCTTCACAATAGAGTGTAGTGCCCCATTCACTCTATTCCCTGAAGAAACCTTTCTTTTTTTTTTCTTAGATTATCTTATCTTATTACGACTTATAACTACGACCTATGGGTCGGAATGGGATTTGGAATTAACTTACTCGTCATATGGTATATGTCAAGGCAAAAAACTGGGTTAAAATTCAACAATATGTAGAAACAGCTAGATTTGTTCATTTTTTTAACCACCATGAGTTATTTAAAACGTTGTGGTTACGGGATAATTGTAATGATATTGCAATCTGATTTTAATTTGTTCAGTATTTTATTTGTTTAATGGAAGAGCCGATTACACCAAAAGAGAAACCCGGTTTTGGGTCCATCGTTACAGAAATCAAATACAAGTTTTTTATGAAACGCTCCAGAAAACGAAGACAGGCGATAGTAACGATGACTTTGGTGATACTGTCATATGGTGTCATACTGGACGGTTCACAAGGTGTTAAAGCGTAACCAAATGCACCCATACAAAGTGCACAAAATGCAAGCTTTAGTTACCGGTGATCACGACCGTCGGCGACTTTTCTGCTGTTGATTATTATATCAGCAACAACGTGTGCTTGGTTTTATTGAGCAAGTCATCTGGACGGATGAGTCGACATTTACCAGAAACGGCCTGTGAAACCGAAGAAATACACCACGTGTATTTCGAGGTTATCGACAAAGGGAGCACCAAACTCGATGATCTAATCGATCTCGATGGTTACCGTATGGGCAGGCTTATTAAGGATTTATTTAAGGATTTCGATCAGTAAGCTGTTTCATAAATAATTTTTTGAAATAACTTAGTACCGAACTGATCTGAATAGGTACATAACTGAATACATGAGAATGATAAGCATACCTATACGATGGATAATTTAAGTAAATTTTTCATTAGCGGGGAATCAAACCAGGTGGCTAGGTGGATACTAGCACAGTGACAAAATAGTGGGTTAAATAAGTATTTAGACAAGTGTTGTAAATTATTAGGTATTGGCACTATTATTTATTCTGTGGTATTGATACGACCGCGGGCTGAGGGCCGCGCGGATTCGCGTTGCGCGTATATTGACCCTTGTCAGCTAGATTTTAGGTATTTAAGTTTCACTGCCGGTTTGCCATAAGTATTTTCACGATTATTTTTATGAAATTATCGTTTCATTTAGCTATAATAACATGATATAGCGTGATTAAAAACAATTAGACGTTGTAAGTAAAAAGATATTTTTATCGGGATCGATTTCCTTTTTGTCCCATGATCAAAGGTATCGCTAGTACTATCGTCTATCTTCATGTACGGGAGCATTTCTCTAATACCCGGTATACCAAAAATATTGTACATTTTACTTGATTATTCCAATTAAATCTCAAGAAACCTTCTCAGTACTCTAATTAGTGACCAATTTTCAGCTCTGTCGCGCCGGGCACAAGTTTGTTGGGGGACAGGGTTTTAAATCAAATCAAATAATTTATTTGTAAAACATAGGTAAAAAAGTTACAAACTTAGTGGAAAAGGTTTGATAAGTAACACTATGTTTCGCCTTAAATGGCATATTTGGTTATCATTATCACTTGGCAATATGAAAAATAACTTTGATAAAATAACAATTTCAATTATAATTGGTATGTTTAGAAAGTACTTAAATTGTTATCTTAATTATCAATTACATAATTGTTAATAACATAAAGATATTCTTAATAACATAAAAATAAAAATATAAGTACTAAATAAATAGTTTGTTACGTGATTTCTCCTTTGTTTTATTGTATGTTCAATTTAAAGCCCTCCCTGATAACGGTGCACTTTCCTAATAAACGACCAATTTACTTCAATCAAAAAATCGACCAGGGACAAAATAATTACCTTATTTCAGTATGGAGGAGGTAGAGCGCCTATGCGATCGTTTAACGATTCTGGACTCGGGTGAGATGGGAGCACTGAGGTCACTCAACGGCTTCAAGAACTTGTACGCACCTAGTCGTACCGTTTTTTTTAAATTCCATGTCTCTGTCTTAAAATGTGAGTAGATTTATCTGTTGAAAAATATAAAATTGTATATGTGAATGTAATATGTTTGTATGTGTGTGTTTATAATATATATATATATATATATATATATATATATATATATATATATATATATATATATTTAAGCAAACATGTACACATATAAGACCTAGTAACACATGCAGGAAGTCGATGGATGCAGGTGAATCAGGTGCGTTCCTTGTGGCAATCCTTAGGGGTGGTCTATGTTCACTAGTTGCCTTGTGGAAAGCTGTAATGATAATGTTGATGATGATTCATATTATATATGAATGCCTTTTTCATTTCATTAATTCATTACAACCTATCAAAATTCAAAGCTGAGCAAAGGTCCGCACATCTATTGGATGAGGAATATTTGCAATAGTTGCCTAGATGGGTTGGCAATCACAGTTTTTTTTTTTCATTTTCTTTTTATTTTTAGATTTATTAGAAAGACCTTATTGCCCATTTCGTGGTATTTCGTTCTGTCACCTTCGAAACCCATGGGATGATATGAAGTCGTGAATATTATTATTTCACTACCACTGCACAGTTATTGACTGAAAAAAGACTTGAAGTCTTATCCGAATTTAAAGGCGTTCTATGTGGATGAAAGATATTGTTTCTCGTTACGAAATGGAGGGAACCACAATCTCTTTCAACGGCTTATAAACTTGAAAATGAACTGACTCATAAATCCGCGGCGCCGCGCCTATCAGTGTGTCTGATATCCGAGTGTCGACAACCAAGTGTCCGATATCCGAGTGTCCGACAACCGTGTGTCAAGATGACGCTCTGGCGGCAGCTTCGCGGACCCTCTAAAGCACCGCACAGCGCTTCTGTCTCTATAGTGAAGTTCGATACTATGTCGTAGACAGAGAAACCTATAGACTTATGATTAGCGTGGCCTCAAGTGAGAAAGGACGATAACGTAATTTAAGGTTATACAATAATCTTTATGAATTTTAAACATATTTAGATAAATTTTTAATTGTTCTACTAACTGAACTGAACAATATTCACCAATCTTAAGCTCACAAAACACTTTTTTCTCACTTAAACGAATTTGTAAACTCCTTAGATCGCTACGTACTGTCAAAGTTGTTTAGCAAAGTGTAGTTTGCTAAATAAAAAACTGGCATGGAGAAAGGGACAAACAATCACACCGCTCTGTCTCATTTGTATGCATAATAAGACTATTTGTATGCATAGATGTATGCATAAAATCTATCTTTTTCGTGTGCGAATGCGAAAGAAAGCGTCAATTTGTCTATAGGTTTCTCTGTCTACGCACTATGTATTGTTTTATCTATGGTTTGACTTTAGTCTTCAGATGCAACAACGCATCTGTAGCCTTTTGTTGCTTGAAGTCAATTGCAGTTCATAGGCAGTAGACCCTTGGCATATGGATATAGAATAGACTGTTTTAGCACGTATGTTATTTCAATGCTTAACAGTACAAAATTCGGATGTTGGATAAGAAAAGAACATGAAATATTAACTTGACAGGGGCTTGTTATAGTTTTCTTAATCGTATTTTATTGTTCAGCCGCTGGAACTTCGAGAGTGCAGGCGCTAAAGGAATCTATGTACCGCGAGTTTAGCTGCTTCGTGAACAGTGAACATTTGGTAAGTTATAGTTAGGTTTACTTTCACTATTTAGGTACATACTTAACATTTAAATGTTTTTTTTTTTTTATAAATATACAGACTTTTATCGATTGCAATACATTTTCTCCATCGATAATCGATTTCTGAGGTTTTAAATCGGATATACCTCATATGAGATCGGCGTATGTGTAAGAATATCAACTACCCCGTATCATCTCATAGGTGTAGCAAGGAACGAAAGGGGGAAATTGAAACAGGATATGGGCAGCAGCATCTACCTGACAGGAATCAAAAATAATAAAAACTACAGTTATCAAACCCGCCTCTCAATCATAACAATCACGGTAATATCTACGAAATAAACTCTATGCTGGTGGCCTACGTTCAGTTGTTCAGTTGTAGATTAAAAAAAAACTATAATGAATAAACGAACAGAATTTTTATAACGACATCTATGGGAATTTATAAAATGCTATTGCATATAATCACCGCTTATGCCTCCTAAGGGACGAAATGAATTTTCTTGTGCCGTACACATGTATTTGACACACTAGTCAGTTGAAATAATTTTTAAGATTTGTGAAATCAAAAATTTCTATAAGAATCGTATATATCTAACAGAAAAAAGCAGTAATTGTAAGTGGGTTCAGATCAGACCTCATAACTATAAAATACGTAATACCACAAGGATACCACCACCTAAGCGCACTTCTCCACAATACTTATTTATTTGATATTCATTCATATCTTAGGATTTCCAAATTTCTAATGTAGAAAATGGAAGATTGCATACTCGTTCAAATTCATTTCATGACAACTTGTCAAAATATAAAAACGCTAATAGAATAGTTTACAGTACAGTACAATAGTACAATTTGGAGAAGTGTAACCAAATTTTTGTATTTGTATTACTCGAGTACACAATAAATAATATCCAACTTTGAAAGTCATGTTACTGTTAGCGATTGAGGAGCAATTTTGGATTCCATACACACAAAGGTGGATCGTTTATACCAAATAACAGAATGAGTGTATAAATTGCTTGGTTTTGTATTGCGAGCGTGCAAGCCTTTCAGTAATACCAAGTCCATAAATATTGTTTACTTTGCATATCTCATAAGCTTACTGGATATGCGAACTGTATATGATCTCCACAGTGGGTACAGACAGTTGAAGGCCCCATGGCGTAGTGGCTAAGCAATGAGTTAAGGCGCTGAGCGCTAGGGAATCGGAACCCATATGGAACAAATATTTCTATGACCTACAAATATTTGTTTCGAGTTTGAATGTATGTCTTTATGCAATTTATGTATGCAAACTGACCCCACGATACAGGAGAAAATCCTGGTCTAGGTTTAAGGGTTAAAAAGAAGTCGAAGCAAAAATATACAAAATGGAAGCAAAGAATGCTTAGTATATTGATGCCATTAAATCTATCCGTAGACAATTCATTAAATATCTTAATTTCAAAACGCAGTACTTTCTTACCTATAAAGATAGCTGTCGTTTTATGGGGATTTTTATTAATATAAGAGGGGGCAAACAAGCATGCCGCTCATCTGATAGTAAGTGACTACCGCCACTCATGAACAACGGCTCTTTTGTTAAACGTCCCTAAGTCCGGGATGGACCGCAAATCATCCAGATGGCGTGGATTGTAACGTGAGTTTTGTTGCGATGTGCGATGGTGAAATTGAACGGCCGGAATTAATCTGAACAATTCCTCTGAGCACTCCAGTGAGGGAAGCCGATCAGAAAAAACTTGATCGTTAACGATTCAAACCGCTCTGTGCTGGATGCGATAGTCCCCGGCACAGACATGAGTTTTACCATTAGGGAATCGGAGCGAGTCGCACAATCACACAAACAAAAACACACACACACACACACACACACACACACACACACACACACTCACGGGGTAAAGCGGGTTGTCAACGCGTAATAAAGTAATAGTTGGAACACTTATGCTTCGAAAATGAAGTGAATGGTGCTTCAGGGTCTTCAGGGGTGCAGGTTGATAAAAGGCAGTTATTTTGACAATGCTGACAGACACATCAATTTTATTTATCAGCGATTTTGTTTTACCTAGACAACTCTGTCGTTCACAATAACGGAACCGAAGCTGGCGTTTAACGTGATTTTTGTAAAGCTGACACTACTGGCAACTCAGTTCGACGACATCGTGGAGGACTACTCTGCTTATGACGGTAATCTGGAAGATGCCTTCATGCACTTCTTGGACGAGAACCGTTACTCGATCCGACCAAAGGAGACTTGGTAGAATATGAATTAGTTTAATCATATTCTATCGAGTCTCGTTCGGTCTCATCAGCCAATTGCTACGTTGTTAAAACCTGTACTCAATAATTACGAATATTGAGATTGGGTGCCAATTATGAAATAATTTGCCATCGCTTATTGTTGACTTCGTTTTTGCTTTTATATTTTAATATTTCTCAATTGTGATATTTATACTTAATAAAATGTTTTTGCATTAAAATTTTATTTTTGTTAAATAATAAAAAAATATTGATCAAAACATAAAAGAATGCGTTTATTTTGTACATACAATGTTACAAAAATACAAACGAAGAAGAGAGAAAAACTAAACTTTCCGTCCATACCGAATAAAATGTTACAAATGATGTACTAAATTATTTATTATTTTTATGGATCGTGTGGTGATAATATACAAGCTGTACCAGAGCCATGTACAAAATGCAGGTAAGTGCACCAAATCATAATTGTGGCAATGTGGAATACGATATTATCATATTGTACTAGTATCATATTTTATCGTATTGTATATTATACATCGACTTTATTATTTGCTTCTTATATTTTCGGTTTAAAATGTTTAATTTGTTTAGTAATATATCCGCAAGCGACTGCTTTATTATTGTATGTGCATGTTTTCAAGTCGTAGCACTACCACTGCCTTAATAAAAGTTACTGAAGACATTAGAAAAGGTGTGGATGAAAAAAACATAGCAGTGCTAGTGCTAGTTGACTTTTCTAATGCTGTTTACACAATTGGTCATGATATCCTTCTTTCCATCCTATACCGTCTTCATTAAAACCCACTGTATTAGATTAGTTTCCATCCTATCTTCGCGGGCATAAGCAGTTAGTTCACGTAGGACAAATGACCTCAGCTTGGGCTGAAGTTGAATGTGGCGTACCGCAAGGTGGTATATTCTCTTCTATCATCTTCGTCTCAATTTTTATAAACTTGATCACTCATAATATTGATTGCTCGTACCATCTGTACGCTGACGATCTGCAGCTATATGTACATTATAGAGTTGAAGATCTACATAATGGAATTCATAAATTCATCAATTTAAACACAATTAATGATTGGTCCTCGCACTATGGAGTCTGTACGAATCCAGTGAAAAGGCAAGCGATTTTAGTAGGAAGTAAAAAGTTGCTGGCTAGGGTTAATCAAGCATACTTACCTCCTATTTGCTATGATAATATTAGTTTTTCATTAATTGAATCTGTTAAAAACCAGGGCCTATATATTGATAGTTCTCTGAACTGGAAAATGCAGGTTATCGATTTAAGTAGGAAAGTCATTGCCACCAAACGTTCCCTTTATCGTCTCAAATACTTTTTTCCTATTAAGTCTAAGCTCATGGTTGCCCAAACTCTTATTTTACCTATCTTTGATAATGCAGATTTGTGCTACCCCGACCTGTCCCAAGAACTTTTTAACAAGCTAGAGCTCTCACCACTCCACGGGTGGACTGGTAGAGAATACCTTTAGTCATTAAGCTCGCCCTTTGTAACCTTTTTTTCTAAGGAAACGCAATGGAGTTTTTAAAATAAAATAAAAATGAAATTCATATTATGTTGATGTAAAGATTTAATTTACTTACATAATATTCATAGTGCATACTTAATAACATCTTACATCCAATTTGAATTTCTTTAAATCCAAATGTCCAAGAGTTAGAATTGTGTGCACGCTAAATTATAAAAAAAATTTATAACTTTTATGCCATTATAATGCATCAAAATTTCTTCCTGCGCGGTGATTTGGTGTGCGAAACATTCCAGGACAGATGTCCAAAAAGAATGGAGTAACTTTTCATTGCTAAGTAAAAAATACGAAAATTATTTTTAATTAATTCAGATTATGAGCCACCGCTGGGGTCTTTCTAAAACGATGGCCGGGTAATTGACGACATGGTTGAGTCGCGCGTTGATGTCTTTTGGAAAAGTCTCGTTCTATTATTAGATAATTCTAATGCTTCTATCCCTTTATTTTCCTTTGTATGTTTATCGTTAACATTAGTACTTACTGTTACCTTTAATACCTGAAAGTCGATATCGAAAATAATAAAATTAAAATTAATAAAAAAAATATCCAATTCACCCACTGTGAAAAAAATACCTATCTACTTTTAACCGTCTTCAGAAAAAAAGGGGAGGTTCTTAGTTCGTCGGTATTTTTTCCTAGTTAAAGTTTATGGTTACCTAGTTAAATTTTTTAGATTCGTGTACCAAATTAGAACACCTTACAATTTCAAAAGGACATTGAAGGCAAGTTATTGTACGGATCCACTACAGCAATAGATATTTGTCGTCGTTGTGAAATTTTAATTAAGAGGGCAATCAACGAGAGTATTTCAAAAGTGCTGTCTTCGAAATATAATACCCATTATTTTATAAGATCGGTTTTAAAATCTCTAATTGGGTATTATTGATTCCCAGACAGTAGTTTTCATCAATTTGAAATTAAATTAACAAATCATTTAATTGAATTAGCAAGATGCATAATTTACAAATATGTAGACGCTTGTTTATAATTTTTTATAAAGAACAATCAGTTAATTCGAAATAAATATACCAAATTAATTCATTTTGAAAATCAATAATAATATAATAAATACATGTTCTTGCTGTAATTGATTGATTTCGATTAAATATTATTTCTATGATTTTAATTAAATATTTTTCATAATGTTAAAATCCATTTAATCGATATCGAATATTTTCCTTTATTAAGAAGAGCAACCCTAATGATAGCCATAATAACGCAACTTGACCATTTGCAGCCACGCATTCTTCCTCGTCCCCCGGCCCGCAGTAGTGAGCCGTGCGCTTAGAAGACATCTGCCTATACGCTCTCTAGTTGTTATATTCTCTATACGTAAAAGACATAATAGACGATGAAGGAAGATATCGTGAGGATATCTATCTGTAAATAAGATATTTTATGGACATATTAAGTTCACTAGCACGTACTGGAGAAGAAATGTGATTTTACTGTTCCATGTAACACATTTTTCCGTGTAGTGGCAATTAAGCATATCCACTACACCACATCTTCCCGTGGGTGTCGTAAAAGGCGACAGAAGAAAGTAGGCAGGAGATGGGCAGCAGTATCTTCCTGATAGCAGCAACTGTACAACAAAAAAAACTACGGTTGCCAATCCACTCGCCAAGCGTAGCAACTATGGCAATATACCCACCAAGAGCAACGACGCTAATATATTTCTTATTATAAATATACGACCCCCAGTCCCCAGCGACTCTGCTAATCCTGGCTATGGTAGCGACCATGGTGACAGCGGGGCAGGGGGTGCTAAATATTTCTAGTTGAGGTTTGTTTGCCACCTACGATTACTCGACCTGGCAACATATAACGCACATACTCTGAGGACTGGCAAGAAGATTTTGGAGCTGGAAGAAGAAATAGACAAGTTGCGCTGGAATATTATATGATTATCCGAAGTCCGAAGAAAGCATGAAACCACGGTGATTCTCGAATTCCGCAACTGTTTCTATCACCGAAAGGGTGACCATCTGTTCCAAGAAGGTGTTGGATATATCGTCCACAAGTCTCTCCTTAACAACGTTGTAAAGATTGGGGGTGTGTCGACGAGGGTTGTGTACCTTATACTCAGAATCACCAAACGGCGTTCGCTGAAGGTCATACAGGTTTAAGCACTAACGTTGGCACATCCCGATGAAGAGGTGGGGGAAATGTATCAGGATATTTCTAGAGCCATGCATTCCTCCAAAATGCACTATACGGTGTTAATGGGAGACTTCAACGCAAAACTAGGCACAAGAAAGAACGGTGAGCTGAAAGTATGGAAATTTGGGATAGGGCAATGGAACCCAAGGCGAGCTGGCTGATTTGGAGAAAGAGGGACTCTTTATGATGAACTCTTTCTTCCAGAAGCGGCCCCACAGTGGACCTGGTCGAGCCCCGACGGTTCGACAAAAAATGAGATTGCCTTCATTATGACGACTAGAGCAACTGTTCAGTGATCGCAAGGATGAACTCTGGCAGCGATCACTGAATGGTTAGAGGCACACTGAATCTAACCCTTAAGTTGAAAAGGTCTCGTCTAATGAAATCAATGCTCCATCCACCTCGTGCTCGTGCTCTGCCCGTTTTCAGTGCCTAGAAGATTGCAATGCAGTGGACGATATGAATTACAAGCTCGTGGAATATACTGTCATTAGTTGATTATTACACTAAAATATAAACTATGATATTTAGAAAATAACGGGAAGCAATAATATACTGATAGAAAACCCCATTAATTTTGTATCAAACTTATAATTTAAAAATCAGACAAAAGAAAGACTTTCCTAGGTTCAGTGCAATTGTATTTTTAATTTGTTTACAGCATATATTTTTACATTTCTTGCATATATTCACGATCAAGCTTGTACACTTTTGCACTTGACGGGTGGGTAATGTCCTCCAGACCAAATACTGAGAATTTCTTGGCGAAAAACGCAATAATCGATTTTTTGGCCCGACACGGGATTAACCCAGGACCTCAAGAATAGAAGTTGCACTACTACAAGCCCTAGACCAACGAAGCAGCGGTTGACGGATAGTAAGAACTGACTAATCGTCTTCGGTAGCTTGTAGAATGTTCTAATTGAAGCTCGTTTTAAGATGTGGCCAATCTTGTGATACCTCTGACATATGGTAGTACAGCAGGCACTCGCTCAATTATCGCATTGGCTTGCATTTAAATAAATAAATTCATAATAATTCATTTTAAATTTTAAAATGCACTTGCATATCAATACTCGTTGTTCTAATGCTTGACAAAAAATCCTCTTAAATAAAATAAACTTTTCTACGCTGTACAAGAAAATGTTCACAAATTTAATAACAGAGTCTCTTAGCTACGCCTTATTTTACTTTACCTTGGCGTACTACTTTTCTACTTATTATAGAGTTGTGAGTGATTGTTGAGCAGTTTAAAACTCCGCAGGGATAAGTTTCCGAATTAGTATCAA